ATCAAGACATCTAATATCATCATTATTTTTCCTTCGTTGTGTCATTTTTTACATTTATTCAGCGCGATTCCTAAAGCTGAATCCATTTGTGAATATATTTTGCATTTGTGAGTCCTGCTCTTCAAATATCCTCACTGCAGAGAGTCCGAGAGTCCTTGGTTTCTTAACAGATTATTTTCGGACTTTTGGTTTCAGATTCAGCGCCTCTTCAGTGCAAGGCAATTCAGTGGCGCTTTCTTCTATTTCGTCATTGACTGCCTTCGCCTATGACTCATCTGTGAAAGGGAAAAATGAATTAAAACATATAGAATTATTTGTGGTCTACCTTTAACAGTGAAAAAGCGACGATCATTGATTGAAAGTTGGAGGAACTATCTATGTTATTCACAAAAGTTTCTGTCTATGGATTCATAACGTGCTTCGAACGTTCTGGAAACGGGAGGAGGGGGGAGTCATCGCATAGCAAAGGTCAATGGTCAGCCGAGAAGCGTCTTTCCCATTAGCATGCGTCTCAGAGTACAAAGGTGTCAGTACCGTCTGAAGAATGTCTGCGTCAGGAAGTCAGATAAAGCCGCGGGTCAAACTATCTGTCGTTGTCTCGGTGGGCTTTCAAGGCCCGCCACACCCTGGGGCTCACTTCAGCAACTTGCTCCTCAGGAATCCCTTTCCGACTGGGGCCCAGGTCGTCGAGAACAACAGATCTGCGTCTGCGCCTCCTGCGGCCTCCAACGAACACGGGCAGAAGGGCAGCGAAAGTGGCGGGGATGAGACCGGCTCCCACAGCAGCCATGACAGCAGAAGGGTTGTCGAAGAACCCGGCAGGCGCCTGCTGGGGAGGCTTTGCAGTTGTGCTGGTGCTGGTCGGCCGGGTGGTAGTGGTGGGAGGAGGGCGTGCGGTAGTCGTGGTGGTGGTGGTGGTACTAGAGGTTGTGGTAGTATTGGGTTCGTCAGAGATAGCTGCAGTAAGGGGAGGGGGAGAGATGAGATAAAGGGGAACACTCACGTGGGCGACGCCCGTGGTCTCGATGGAGGACGCCGGGGCAGGAGTCAGGGGGCGAAACAGCCCCGGGGCGATCACGGACAGAGGCACCGAAGCGAAGCTCTGCACGTAATCTCCACCGGTTTCGATCGTCTCCGGAGGGTTGCCCGGGAGCGCGCTGGGCACCTCCACCGTGTGGGAACTGTTGCGCTCATAGCTGGGGAAGGAATGGGGCTGCCTGTCGTTCACGCCGAGGACCGTGAGGCTCGCGGAGGCGTGGTGGGTGGGGGTCCGGTGAGGATCCGAGGGGCGAGCAGGCTCGCTATAGGGCCTCTCATCCAAATGTGTGTTGCTGGAGGATATCTTCACCCACTTCCCCGTGTCGCGGTCCAGCTGGGACACCGTGGACATGCCGTATCGGTTCCAAACCCCGTCATAGGCAGAGGGCCGTTTGGTGGGCCGCGGCGGGGGCCGAGGGGGGCCGGACGGAGGGAGAATGGCGTCGTCGTGCGGGGCCGCGGGCTTCAGCAACTGAGGCCGTGGATTCTTCTGGCTTGGCCGGCGGGTTTTCTGCGTGGAAAAGCGATCGTAGGACTGGGCGTTGCTGGGCCGTTTGTTCGACACCCTGTCCCAGCTGTTGGTGGGCCTCGAGGGAAAGTCGCTTGAGATCTGATCCCAAGTCACAAACGGCAACCGGAAGGGGTCCTGAGTCCCGTGGTCCCTCGACCCACTCACTGACTGGTACTTGAACACTTGCCCTCTCGAAGGCTTAGCGCCCGGGCGGAACCTCGACCCCGGCCAGTAACCCCTGTCACTGTGTCCTCCGAACGCGCGCTCCTCGCTCGCTTCTCCGTCGAAGTCCGACTCCTCGGGAACGGACGGGCTGCCGCTCGACTCGAAGTCGTCGGAATACTGGAATCCATTTCGGAGACTGAACTGCTCGAGGTACTCCTTGAGCTCCTCGTCACTCAGAGGCTTGAGGTTGAGGGGGGGAGGAGTGGTGGTGTAGGCGGGGATGATCGAGGAGCAGGAGCGGCCGCTGGTGCACTCGATCTTGTAAAACTTGATGTTGTGCTTGAGGTCGATGCTGCCTTCCCTCGAGTCTTCGGCGGCGCTCACGAAAGTCAGCGCGTCCTGCGGGAAGTCCCTTAGGGGCGGCTTCTCGGGCTCATCACGTACGCCGATGGGGCGGGAGATGATGATGGTGCTGGGCAGCGCCTTGCCGTCCTTCCGCGTGTAGGTCGCCGGCGCCACGTACAGCTCCGTGTCCACCTGGGGCTCGTGCTTGATCACCAGGCCGTGGGCGGGAGGCCGGAGCGCCACGCCCACGAGTACGCACAGCGAGAGGCGCTGCAGCCCACTTATCAACGATGCGAGAGTCATCTTCAGCAGTGGCTCATCATCTGAAATGCGAAGCGAATGGGTTTTAGGGAGCATGAAGAAAATCAGTTGGTCCTTATACAGGGCCACGTCGTCATTTGAGCGGAAGATTACATGTACAGATTACACACACACACACTTATATGTATGTATGTGTGTGTGTGTGTGTATATATATGTGTGTGTGTGTGTGTGTGTGTGTGTGTGTGTGTGTGTGTGTGTGTGTGTGTGTGTGTGTGTGTGTGTGTGTGTGTGTGTGTGTGTAAATAAATAAATAAATAAATATATAAATGTGTGTACACACACATATATATATGTATACATGTATATATATATGTATATATATGTATATATATGTATACATATGTATATATTTAAATACACGCACACATATATGTGTATAGGAATATATGTATATGTATATATATGTGTATATATATGTATATATATGTATATATATATATATATATATATATATGGTTTCATAGTTCCCAGGAAGTGTGTGTGTGTATGTGTGTGTGTGTGTACATGTATATATGCATATATATATGCATATATACATGTACACACACACACACATACACACATATATATATATGTATATATGTATATATATATATGTATATATATATATATATATATATATATATATATATATATATATATATATATATATATATATTTCCCTCGATGCATCTCGGGCCTCGAGCTGGCTGGTGAAACCTACGCGAATCAGCGACCAGTGACACCTCGGGGCGTTCACTCTCATCACTAACTTTGCTTAGTCAAAGAGGTCGCGGGTTATGCCATTCTAGTTTCATGTCTCGAGGGTGATGGATGACGTTTGTGAATCATTTAAGCTCAATGTGATTTTTTTTTCTTTCTCTCTCCAAAGGTTTTCAAGCGAATTTTGTTGAGGGGTCGGAAAGTAGCAGAGGGAGGGAGGATGGTGATGTGGCATAAATAGTAGTAATAAGAGTGACAACAATAACAACAGTTACAGTAATAGCTAATGAAAACAATAGTGATAATAAGGTAATAAAAATGTAATTGAATACAGCAAAACTACACAAGCAAAATAATAAAAGAAAGATTAGTCAATAACGAAGTGTACAGACACTGCGAAATCTCTCTCGGTCAAGAAGGAAAACAGTATCAGGAAAATTATTCTGTCATCCAGGGACTATAATGACATGAATAAGAATGAATATTTTCGAAAAGATAGAAATATAATCGACGCATTTCGGTGTATTTATCTTTTCGATGTAAAGACTGCTAGGGTAATGAATGAGGAAAGAGCATCGTTACACTGCCTGCCTCGCTTTTCGATGCTCTGTGTTGTAGGATCGAAGCGCTGTTAGTACACGTACAGCGCTGTGAAATTCATAATTCCTCTTCACACCCGCCTTGGCTGAATTAGTCACAGTGAACTAATTTCTGTGCATATCTGTGCAATGTGAGGCTCGGGTTAATATACTGGCATAACTATCGGAGAGATAATCGAATTTAAATTCATCATAATAAGGAAGATTGCAAGTTTGAACTGACTGGAGGAAGAAGAGAGAAAGGGAAAAGTAAAATAAGAAAAGGAAGACAGGGCAAGGAGGAAATTATTGTGATAAAGGCGATAAATATTTTAATGATACGTTATAATGATGATGGTAATAATAATGATACTTTTCATGAATATGCAACATACAAGTTATCACGAGGATGGTAATAACAATAATATTAAAAATATGATCATAACAATTGCAATAATGATAATATCAGTAACATATAAAGATGATAACCATAACAGTAATAATGCTATGATAATTAACAAGTGATAATTACTACTGCAATAATCATAAGACAAGGAGAAAGTGTGGAAGAGAGGACGAGCAAGAATAAGCGGAAGAGAAAGTGCAACGGAAGAGGGAGAGGCGGAAGGGGAGAGAAAGAGAGAAGGGGAAAAAGAGTAAGGAGAGGGACAGGGAAGAGTAACGGGAGGGGTGGGGGAAGAGCAGGGAGGTAGAGGAAGGGTAAACAAGGAGGAAGAGGAAAATGAAGAACAGGAGATAGAGGAAGGTGGAGATGAAGAAAAGGCAGAGCAAGAATAAGAAAAAATGAGGAAAACCAAGAGTAGAAGGAGAGAAAGGAAGGAAGCAAAAAAAAAATAACAGGGTAGGAGTAGGAATAGGAATAAGAAAAGCCGAGGAAGGGGGGAGGGGAGGGCCCATACCCCCCCACTCACCATGAACCCCCTGATCAAACGAGCGTCGTCGTTTTCAGGGTGTGACAACTGCGTGCCGCTCTCTACACTTGGCCCGCGAGTGAGTCCGCCCGTTGCCCATCTTGCACAAGGGTGGCGCTCAGGGTGACGGCGGAAGACAGAGATAGAGAGACCCGAGGAGAAGACGGCAAGAGGAGGAAACAAGAGATAGATAACAGGCGACGGAAGGAAGGATGATAAGTTATTTAGATAAGGAAATAAGGAGACTGAAGGTAAGAAGATAGGAAAAGAGGATGACAGAAGATATAGCGAGATAGATGAGAGAAGAGGACGGTGGGAAAAAGAATCAAAAGATAGATAAGAGAGAGGAGGAGAAGAAATGACGAGATAGATAAGGGAAGAGCATGGAAAGAGAAGAAATGGAGAT